ACAGAATTAGAGGTATATATAGTGCAAGATATACAAATAGTATTACAGCTCTTTAGAAAGCTAAACGCTACTTAGTCTATGTAGAGAATAAACTAAATGTTAAACACGCCTCCTAAAGGTTGTTTAATGCAGGAACTATATACATGTATAGGGAGTGCTAAGGGGAGTAAAAGGAGTTTATAGGAGTCTGCTAAGGAGAGCTCCTTAAGCTCCCTTAGGCTCACGGGACTTGTGGCCTATCCTTCCTATTAGACAACGCATTCCTCCATTACCGCGGGCAGCTGTGCTGCCTCCGTGTCCTCCGACTGGTCCATAAGCGAGCCCTGCCCCAATCCAGCTAGACTGTAGAGCACTGCTGGTGGAGTTACGCTAGTCTAACTGTAGACTATAACAATTAGCTTAGTAGGCAGGGCGTCTACCTTATTACACAACGCTAGAGACCGCAAGGTGCAAAGGGGAGGATGTAAGAGGTATTAAGCAGGAAACATAGGTTATAGAGAGGGAATGCAGGATAGGGGGGTAACAAGAGAGAGTAAACCTTAGGGTTAGAGGCAGAGGTACAGAGGCTAAGGAGCCTATATACCCTGTGCTAAGCCCTTAGGGTACTTAGAGGTTAGATAGCTGTAACATAACTGTAATAAAGAAAAACTATTATAAAAGTAAGAACATGTTAAAAGCTAGAGCTAGCTATTATTTACGTTTTTAGCTATATTAGTGTGTTAGTAATTAGTTACATGCTATAGTTAAATGTTGTTATTATACATCTATTACCTATCTAATACTACTTTGCTAAGCATTATGCTGTAACTATTCTTTAACCTAGATAACCTACTTTAATGCGCTAACTATTACTGTTGCGTAAGAAGAGCATAGGGACCTTGCGTCGCGCACATAGGCTTAGTGTTGCGCCTGTGTTTTAGACAAGCAGCCTAAGACACTTAGCGCCTAAGCTCTCTATAAGCCTCTTATAGTTAATAGACTTGCTTCTTATTGCTCTCTAATTAGCAGTTGTGATAATTACTCTAAGCAAGCTTTGCTTTTACAGATCATTTATGAACTGTTGTAGTATTTTAGAGGATAGGAAGTTTTAAACTTAAAGGCTTTAGTTAATAGAAGGTCTTTAGAATTCTATCTATAATAACTAAATAATTTAATATAACAGTGTGTAAAAACTATAACCTAAACTAAATTAAACACTTTTTAGAGTTAGACATAGTTAAATAAATAATTAACATAATATTATTAATAAGGCTGTTACTAGTAAAAGTAAGTTTTCTAATATAATGTAACAGCGCAGGCAAGACAATAGGTCTAAATGCAGTGGGAGTCCACTTAGAGGCATATGGGAGTGCGTGGGGACTCTGAACCTGGGAATGCTATTAACACCTATAGGCCTTGTACAAAAGGATATTAGAAAACTACTAAGCTAGCTACAGGGGCGAGGTGCGACTAAATACATGAGGGAATAGGGGTAACTGCGGGGGACTGGGTCGAGTCATGGTCGGGCCGATACGGGGACCCTTCGGATAGGATCCGAGCGACCCGAGATGGAACGATTCGTAGAATCGTTACACCTAGAAGAAAGCTCCCTAGACTAGAAAACATTACTATTAGTTAAAACCGCAGCAGCACTAGCTAGCTGCAATGTAGGAAGTCTGCGACCCTTTAACATAGGTTAAGAAGGAGGAAGACTAGCAGCTTCTGCCTTAAGCGCTTTAACCTTATCTAGTAATAAAAGGTCTTCTTCTAGATACTTTGCCCTTTAATCTACTAAAAGATCTAATTACTGCTGCGCCCTCTTCTAATAAGCAACTAAGAACTAAAAACGCGCAAGAGACTCCCTCTGTTTCTTTAAAAACTCCTCCTTTACCTTCACCTCCTCTTCCTTTTCGCGCATCTTATCTTCCTAGATTTCCTCTAACTCTGCTAACAGCTTTGCGTGTTCCTGTTCTAAGTAATCCTAAGCTGTGTTAGACACAAAGGCGTTGTAACAACTACCTTTTTGCACACACTCTACACACTTGTCTAATAACAAGGACATTACGCAAGAGGACCTGCTTAAGCAACAGGCGCTATAAGGACGCATCTTTGTACAACAAAGAGGATTAAGACAAGCAACAGTGCAAAGGCGACAGGCAACAGCAGAAGAACAAGGAGCCTGGCGAGGCATGGTTAAGAAAGCTAGACATTAAGCTAGGCTTTAAAGAGGGACACGCACTAGCTAAAAAGAAAACCTAACGCTCACAGCAGGAAGAACGTAACGGCGAGGACGCTAACTAGGAGGGAAGCCTGCGTGTTACAGCTAACAGACAGACTGTAATAACCTAATCAGCTGTCCCACACAGCCCAAGCAACGTCAGATAGAAGAAGTTTAACCCCACGTTAAATGGATCACGTGACAGGACAGATAAGGAATAGCTTCAGCTTTTAGAGAAAAGCCTTGCGGAATGCATCATCTAATAGGAACTGCAGGTTTGCAGGCTTGCAGGCCCTGCAGGCCACACCAGCATGCAAGCATGCAAACATGCACAACATGCAAACTCTATGTATATAGTCTTGATCACGACCATAGTTGGAAGGTCGTGATTACCATTTAGTCTTTACCTACCTAATAGACTGAGAGGCACTAAAACCTTTACAAAGAGAACATTGCCGCCTTGTATATCTTGCACCATATATACCTCCTTTCCTATCCTCACGGATCAGGTTTGCCAGCTCCCCATACAGCCGCTGGGCCAAACCACAACCTGCCTTCTCCACCTCGCTATACCTACACTCTGCTCGACGGACTGTACACCCGATCCAGCTAAGTCCTACCCCTTTCCGCTAACCCCCATCATAGGCCGTCGTACTCCCGAAAATACCATTTCGCCGGAGTAAGGATTGTAACAAGTACGAGCAATAAGCTCGAACAGTATGTTGCTGCACATTGCTGCATGTTGCAGCAAATTGCAGCATTTTGCAGCATGTTGCAGCATTTTACAGCATTTTGCAGGCTGGTCGCGCATAGGGCAAGTGCGCGAGGGACTCGGATCGGCAAAACAAAAAGCCGAGCAACACGAGTAGAGCAGAAAAAGGATCGATAAATCAATACAATCAATCATCATCTCATACATCATATCCAAACCCATCATTCATCTCAGGAAGCCCAGAAACAGTGCTTCAATCTGACAATGGTGAAGGAAGTTCAAATTACTATGTCACCTTAAAATTCACAAAAGTCCCTCAGACAGGTGGACAGAGAAAGCGCTCCTGAGCCCCTGATTGGCTGGCCATGTTAGTAAAGGAGCTAGTAGGGGTCCCCCTCCTAGTAGCAGGGAGAGGGTCCTCAAGGGCTCCGAGCTTCTCTGCACAGTCGGCTGAGCACCTGAGATAAAATTGTTCCCTTGGCTTGCATCAGCCTACGCCTGATCCGGATGGCTGACGGGAGTTCTCCGGGGCCCCTGTCGCAAGCGGATCGGGCCGTCCTTCCTCCGGGAGCATGGGAGCGATGTCTCGCTAGCCTAATCCAACTGTCATAACACTCTTGTGCTACTCCGCCATTTCAACTAAAAAGGTGCGAATAATCAACAAACAGTCAATTTGCATACAGAACGGTATACATGTCTTACATTATTCTCTTTCTTAGAAATGCCTGTCCCAGGCGTCAGCTGGCCTCAACCTGAAGCTCAGGGGCGCAACACGCGCACGTCGGCCGGGATAAACACACGGCGCTTGGTGGCCTATGCTAAGCTAAGAAACACTGGAGCCTCCAGCAGCTACAATGTGGGCGCCCGTAGACTGCCTCAGTTTTCTGTTAAAACCTACTGTTAGTGAACTATTTTATAAGGATGGGCGCTGTACCACTCCGCCATTACAATCAAAAAGGTGCGAATAATCAGCCAGCATTTGATTTCCATACAGAACAATTTATATATGCCATACACGCAGACGTTTTATTAGAGGTTACTAGTATACTTACTTAGATGGTCCGCTCGCTTATGAAACACGTTAGATGTTAGGTGAATATACTGTTAGGCTTGTAGTACTAACTTTAGTGGTGGGGTTCACTAAGGATTCTGCTGATCTTCTTTAAGCTAAGTGTAAACACTGTTTTGCAAATAGTTGTAAGAATGATTATAGACTACAGTTGTTGTAACGATTCTCGTTCCATCTCAGGTCGCCCGGAACCTATCCGAAGGGTCCCCGTCTCGGCTCCGACCCTGGCTCGACCCTGACTCGACCTGGCCCCAACTCTGCCCTGCCCCCTGCTGTTACCCCTATTTTCCCCATGTATTTAGTCGCACCTCGCCCCTGTAGCTGGCTTAGTAGTTTTCTGATATCCTTTGTACAAGGCCTATAGGTGTCAATGAGATTCCAAGGTCATTGAGTCCCCACGCACTCCCGTATGCCTCTGAGTGGATTCCTACCGCATTCAGACCCGTTGTCTTGCTTGTGCCGTTAAAGCTGTCTTTCTTCATTTTTTTGTTAAAGGAACAGTGTAAAAACATTTTATTGTACTCTGTACAAAGCTTTTAAGGTAATAATTACAGTCTTTCTAAATCCTACGGATTCCTCAAATAATATTGGCAATCTTACCAATGTTGGATAAACGAATATTGATTGGTTTGAGATTGGTTTGGATTCGATTGGTGCCAGCACTGTCAGCCCAAAGTCCGAAGCCACCACGAGCACAAACCAATGTATGCCCGGTGCGAGCGCATCGCATCAGCTCTTGTCAAAGTGCCACAGATTAACCTCGTGCAATTTGAGGCGAGCTGAGAAATGTCTTGCGCCGTGGCTTGGTGGCGAGGGCTTTCGCCTATTTTCTACGCTTCTGTTCTGTGATTTTAAGATACAGGCAACATAATGGCCGCCACAGCGTTCTTAGGAAATTTGCATTGTCCCTCAGCCTGCGCGCAGTAGAGGACAGCGCTCTCGTGTAGCAAAACGGGGTTATAAAGTCCAATGGTGCCGCCCCGCTCTGCCAGACTCCACAACGCTAAGAGTACCTTTCCAGAATGCGCGCACTTCTATTTCTCGCTATCTATGGGGCATGCTTTTCCCCAAAGCGTGCATATGCCTCACCAGGAACCACCACACCACCAGCGTCGCTTATCACCCCCGCCCCAGTATTACATGGGAGATTTGCAAGAGACTTTGTGGGATACGTATTATTTTTGGACGGTGATAGTATGTGTTGAAGCATTTATCGCTAGCATCCCTACTAAAAAATCCCCGTAGCTTCCGTCCGGACCTGCAATACTGGATATACGTACACCTACACAAATGGATATGCAGGTTGCGTTCGCTCGCTTGGGGATCTTGGTACCGAATGCGATGGTTCCACGGTCATCTTCACGTATGGACACACTTCAGAATGGTATGGCGCAAGATATTATCTAGGCAGCCTAAGCTGAATCATGTGTAGCTCTTATGCCTGTGTTACGGATTTCTACTTATATTCCCTCAACGATAGAGAGCCGGCCTGGGGTATACATTGCGCCACGCGCACCACCGGTTGGAAAGTATTGCACATGTCGTCAGAAGATCTTCCCAGTGGAAAGATAACCATCACGCAACCAATTAAGCCATCTACCCCGCCAGATGCGAAGACTATCGAAAGGACTGTCACTGTACATAATTTTACAGCCGCTTCAGCACCTAATTCAGGCTCGCCTTCACCTACTAAGCGTACGTTTAACAATGTACGAGTACATTTATGGGCTTCTTAACACGAATACAGCATCACAAGTACAAAAGAACAACGGCGCCTTGATCGGCGGCGCCGTCGCGGGCTCTCTTGTCTTCATTGGCCTCATCATTGCAAGCATTATTTTCTTCCTAAGCAGACGTCGCCAGAAACAGGGTCGCTCCGAGGAATTTGTGGCCCATGGTACTCGATTCATGGGCATGGATCGATCCGTCCCAAATTCGCCGGCCCCATTCTCACCACCGCCGGAATACACTCAGGAAAAATCACCAAGCACCACGGTGTCGATAGCGAGGAAGCCAGTGCAGCAACCAGGTAATGTAGTTAGGAATGAGGTTCACGAGGCCTATGGAGAGCCGGTGTATGCAAACGAGCTCCCGGCGCATTGTGTGCAGCCTCAGCGGAGGAGCGAGCTTGGCTGATGAGTCCAGAAGCCGTACAGACTGGAATATTCATTTTATCAATGCGTTCTAGATTCTATCATGTCTTGCACCATTCGGGGATATTAGTTGATGTAATGTTAATGTAACTAGAATAGTTAGGGTAATTAGTAGTAATACATCAAGTTGCCAGCGAAGGCCACACCCTTATCAAGCCACCATAGTTGCTGAGGCTTCCTACGCAAGCAAAAGTGTTTGCAGTAGTCACACGATAGTCAGACGCGTCGTCATCATGATTGGATGCGTTGGATGCATCGTCACCATGGTCGTATGCATCTCACGATAGTCTATGTTGCCAAGACTTACCCACTTATTTCGCATATATAGACTCCTACGAGCACTCCTCTAGCAATCAATGCAGGTCAGTTTCTCTCATCTCTGTGCCCCCATAAGCTTCACAAAAAGTAATATAGGTAGGGTGTGAATTCCGGAAAGGAAAGCTTTTATAGGCCTAATGCCATATCCAAGGCTCCGAGTCGTGGCAACAAGTCAAAGCAGAAGGCGAACTACTACTCACCTATCCGAAAGGTTGATTATGATGCAAGTGCTAGTTTATTAGTCGCCTTCTAAAATTCATTAGCCGCTCAACAATCTAATCTCTACAGGGGTATAGTTAGCCTATTTAGGATGAAAGTTACTTAGCTAATTTAAGGCATTATTAGTAGTGATTTAGTAGTTAGCAGAGGTCTATTAGAACAGCCTGCTATAGCTTAACTCTAAATTAGGTGGGTCTAGCTTTAAGTCCTACAGAAGTAGGTTTAGCTGTTAACAGGGTAGTAGTTAGTAGTTAAAAGTTAGGCACTAGTAGTTATCTTTAATTTTAATAAGTTATTAGTAGTCTCTAAGTTTCTATCTTAGCGCACTCTACGCAACTTTTCTAAAGGCAATTCTAATTATAGAGGATAAAAGTTCTAAACCTAAAGGCTTTAGTTAATAAAAAGTCCCTAGTATTCTATTTATATAACTAAATAGTTTAATGTAACAGTGTATAAGTATTATAACTTAAACTAAATTAAACATGTTTTAGGCTTAAACATAGTTAAATAAATAATTAATATAATATTACTAAAAAAGCTGTTACTAGCAAAAGCAATCTTTCTAATATAATGTAACAGTGTAGGCAAGACAATAGATTTAAAGACAGTAGGAATCTACTTAGAGCTATATAGAAGTGCGTGGGGACTTAATAACCTAGGAATACTATTAACACCTATAGGCCTTATACAAAAGGATATTAGAAAACTACTATTCTAGCTACAAGGGAGGTATAACTAAATACTTAGGGGAATAGAGGTACAGCAGGGGGCATGGCAGGGTCGGGGCCAGGTCTGAGTCGGGGTCGATACGAGGACCTTCCGGATAGGTTCCAGGCCACCCGAGATGGAACAATTCCTAAGAATCGTTACAGCCACCCATCTAATCCCCCCTCTTACGCAGGTACAACAGACTGTATACCTAGACACTCCTACTAACCCTCTTATTCTTGCTATAGACAACTTATAAGCTGTTACCTAACAACCTAGCCTAAGTACTAAATAGTATAAGACTATCTTTTATCTAAAGAGATAGAAGTCTTAACTATAAGATAAGTATTATAATGAATATATGTAACTAGAATAATCTTAAACAATACAAGCTATATAGAAAGCTATAGGCTATTAAATCACCTTAGTAACTATAGAAAATAGTTATAATAGATTTTATTACTAGTTTACCTAGATTAGCAGAACCTAGATCTAAGAGAGTATGCAATATAATTATAGTGTATGTATATTATATAATAAGGTATGCATACTTCTAGCTATTAGAAAAGACAATAATAGCTAAAGAGCTGGCATATAAATTTAAAACAAATATAATATTAAATTATAAAACACAAAAGGATATATTCTTAGATTAAGATAAACTATTTATAACGTACCTAACAGGTTGGCCGGCCACTTTTGCCAAGCCCCCACTAAAACCACCCTATTCTAGCGCAAAACTGCCTACTTTAGCCCTATATAGAGTAATACAACATAAGATATTATTTAGAGTCTACTTCTACTACTTTTTTACATGTACATAAGTTATGCCTAGTCTAATTACACTACCTATATTACTTTTAACTTAGCTTACCTTCTTTAGCGCGCACTTATGTCTTTAGCTTCTTCCTATTACTACGCGCTTTAAACTCCTTTAGAGCAGTTAGACAAGCCCTATTCTTAACTATTAAGGTCTTTTCTGCCTAAATCTGCTTTCTTTTATGTAATCTATGTTGCGTGGCAGCCTTATTTACTGCTTAAAGCTTTATAATCTCCTTTTACACTAACACTAGCTTATGCGCAATAATTAATGCCCCCTTTAAAACTTTTTTAAAGGCCTTTACTATAGACATTAGTAAGCTATTTATATACTTCTAAATTTTTACTTTTACAAGCATTAATTATAACTTAAATTTAAGAGTATTACTTAGAGTTTACAACTACTAGGGCTTATTGTTAATAGGTAGTAGTAGTAATAAAGTATGTAACTAGATATTAAGAGCTATTTTAACTTATTTTAAGTTAAATAGAACTAAACTAGCACTTTAAAACCCTTCTTAGATATTACTAAAAGTAATTACTGCATTATAGGCGCATATAAAGCATAGTAGAAACTTAAGTTTTATAATATAAGTAATCTAGTTACACATAAGATCTTTAGCTTAGCGCTTATATACTTTCTTTAAAAAGGCAAAACAACCTACATTAAAAGGCTATAAAAAGTGTAATAAGTGTAAAGGCATATACATAGTAATAATTTTATTCTCTTTATAGTACTACTAGAAATTAAGTAAGTTGTAGCTTTTATAGCTATTAATAATAAAAAGCTAATAAGCGCTTATAACTTTTTTTTATATACTTATTAAAGTGCTTTAACTACTGCAGCCTAAGCTTATTTATTATCTAGCTGTTTTTAGAGACTGTAATAACCTAGTTTTAAAGCAGATTTTTCCTTTTATACTAGGCAAAAAAGTAATAGCAGCTTTTAAAAATAATAAAAAGTAAAATAGCTTACTTTATTATATTAATGCTTTAAATAACTATTATTTACTTTTTATTACTTTACTATATTACCTTTAGCTGTCTTTGTTTTTTTAAAGCTATAATAACTACTTTAGTTAATATCTAGCTTATTATAAAGCCTAACTTGTTAAAGTTATATGTGTCTTTATTCTAGATACTGTACTTAGCTTTTATATTAGCTACTAGGTAAAACTAGCCCTAGATAACTTCTAGATTCTTATAAAGTGCTTTTTTATAATTATACTTATAATTAAACTTTATTATAAACTTAGAGCAGTGCTTAACCTACATACTAGGCTAGTTTAAGCTAACCTAGCCTAGATTACGCTCTGTGCGTGTAACGATCCTCATGAATCGTTCCATCTCGAGTCGCCCGGAACCTCCAGAAGGCCCTCGTATCGGCCCCGACCTCGACCTGGCCCTGACCCCTGCTGTTACCCCTTGTCTCGATTGTGCACGAGTAAGGTTATAGAGCTTCACAGAGGTCTAGTTTAATTACTATGTAAGGTATTATAGTAGGTACAAGACGTTGTGTAAGGAACAGAAAGGTTTAGAAAAAAATTAGTAATTAAATACTTAGCTTAGAAGTTAAAGCACTTTAAGTATAAATTAAGCTTATTTTAAGTTTAGTTAGTGTTAAAGTAGTTTATACTTAAGTTTATGTCTATATTATGTTATATTTATATTAGACATGCACTAATAATACTTTAGTACATATCTAATATAGTTATGTCTAGGATCTAGAGAGGATACTGTGACAGTACTCCCCTTTTATTAAAAAAAGAATCCTTTATATTAGTAGTTCTAGCATTAAGTTGTCTTTATTAGAGTATAGGTTTAATTTAAATAGGTATTAAGCGTAGAATTAAGTTACTATAGAGTTCTTTTACAGGGCTTTTGCAGGTTCCTACAACAGTGTGTTATATCTAGTCTATTTTATAAAGTATTTATAGATATGTTTCTTTTTATTAAACTAGATCTATTTAATGTCTTCTATAACATATTTTAGTTTATTATTTATAATAATAGGTTTAAGTAGCAAGTTTAGCTATCTAAGTAAATAGTTAAATTTAAAGGCTGCTTAGCGCAGCAATAATACGTAGAACATAGAGTGTATTTTTATGCTGTTAAGTAGGATTAATTAGTAAGCATGTAATAAAACTATATAAGCTACTATAAAAAGGCTAAAGTTCTTTTAATTAAGTTTTTTTAATTATTAGTTTATTTAGATATTTCTAGCGTTTAGCTAGACTTTCTTACTAGCTGCATATATAAAGGCAGGAGTTTAAAATTAGTTTATGTACTCTTATTAAAAAGCTTAAGCTTATGTAAGCTTTTTATAAATATATTTAAATATATTTTAAATTTTATTAATAAGTTTATTTACATTTATTACTTATATAAATTAATAAGTTAGTTAAGAGGTATTTAAAAGTAGTTTAAATTCTATTTAAAAGTAGTATTTATAGTTTACTAAAAATAGAGATACTTATGTTAATTTAAATGTTATATTATTAGCTTTAAACTATATTATAGCTAACTATTTTACCTAGTTGTTTTACTAGTAGTTTATGTACACTTATAGGACTTATTTTATTATAGTGTTTATGTTCTTAGTCTAGCTATTAGTCTCTAGGTAAAAAGCTATAGATAAATAAAGAATAATTTAGAGCTATTTATAGAGTTTATTCTAGAAGGCTAAGATAAACTGTGTACCTCTGTCTAATATAATTATGTTAGGCAAGCTATAGTAAACTTATATATATTAGTAGAATAACTAGGCTATATTAAAGGCAGTGATAAAGAAATATAGTATTAAGTGTTAATACTTAGTTAAGTAATTAATAACTACTATAATATTTATATACTTTTTAAATAAAAGTAGGTTTATAATAAAATTAATTAATATGTTTTTTTAAGCTTGTTTAAAAATTA